CACGCCCTGTGCGTTGGTAAAGAGCGCCACAGCGCCTGCCTCACCATCAGTTGTTGTCATCTGACTCACTCCTACCATGCCAGCCGGCAGTCCTGTGCCGCCAATTCCAGGGATTACCATCGTCTGGCCTGTCGTCCCTGCCATGGGGATCAGGTACCGGCCCGGTGCCGTTGCCCACGCCTGTCCAATGTTTTGCATTCCTTGTGCGACGTTATCCATTGGGTCGTCGATCTTGGTTGCCTTTGCCACGGCTCTCTCCAGCATCTTCGGCTTCAGCGGCTGTTGCACCAGCTTCTTGGTTGTCTTGTCCAAGCATCTATAGAACAGGGCGAGCAGGACTCTCTCGCTCACCTTGTTCTTGCCCACCACTTCTCGTAACGCCGCTACGAAGTCAGAATAAGTTTCACCGAGCATCATACGCCTCATGTTCACCCTCCACTCCGCGGCCGACTTGTCAAGGCGTTCTCCGTACCATCTCAACAATGCTTTCTTGAGGTACGTTCACGTTTTTCTATGATCTGTGAGCCTACGATCCATATTGACCCACCATCGTGCTACATTCTCCATCAACTTGTTCCCTAAGATGAAGTACAGCGCTCGATCAGACCAAGTTCCGCGACCCGACTCCTCAGCACCACGCAATGCCAAGTCAACCCTGTCGATTCAGGTCGACACAGACACCTTGGGCGATGGTGTAAACGTGGGCAGCTCTAAGTCTTTCACACTCTTCCGCTTAGGTCGCCGTTCACGTCGTTCATGCCGCTCGCGTCGTTCGCGTTCGTTGCGCCGTCCTCGTCGTACACGTCGTCCGCGTCGATCACGTCGCCGCTGTTCTCGATCTGAATCACTCTCTGAGCTGAACGAGCCCTCGTCGTCACTTGCGCCACTACTCTCGTCACCACTGGAGCTGCTGTCGCTCTCGTCGCTGCCGGCGTTACTACTGGGGAGCCCTTCGGAGTCGGCGTCGTCGTTATCGTCGTCGCCGTCTCCGTCGGCTCCGTCGCTGTTGTCGTCCCCTCCGTCGTCGTCCGAGGGGTCCGCAGCAGCAGCGCTGGCCATACGTCGAGCCGCTTGTCCTTCCCCGTCGCTGTCGGAGTCGTCCTGGTGACCAGGGTGTCGCTCGTACCGCCACAGCACCGCCGTGTCGTCGTCCATGGCGCCGTCCACCGTGGTCATCAGTGCCATATGCAGGTTGTAGCCGCGCCACCATGTCTCTCAACTCGCTAATGGCGACCGCCATAGCCGTTACATCCGGTTGAGTGGTCGCCACCGTGCCACCCGATCCGCCGGCATTCCCAGAAGTGTCGTCGATCGCCGGTGTCTCATCCTCGACCTGTGGATCCGCGTCGTGCTCAGAGCTTCGATGATGGCACCGTCTTCGTCGGCACTCACTTC